CGACAAGTGCTGTATAAATGTTTGCACACATTAGAATCAATAGTCTGAACAATGCATGCTAGGATTTTTCCTGTCATTCAATCTGCATCCCAGTAGGCATCGCACAATGTTCTTGGGCACATTAGCACTGATGTAAATGGGTGTTTCGAGTCTTTCCACATTAGTCACTGCTAACATTACTCCCATTACTCAGATTACAGTGCATAAGCTTTCATAAAGTTCATAAGAATAAGTGGGAGTGTTCATGAAATTTGCATATGTCTGTGGTATATGCTCAAAATACAATATAAATTAATATAAATAAAGGTAGAGGTGAGAGAAAAAACAATGCCTTAGATCTAGGCCACAAAGGGCTATTTCTGCCTAGTTCATCCTTTGAAACAAGCCTCATTTCAACATTACACTTTATACTTCACAGGTACATGTCCTTCGATCTTTTGCTATGAATCAGTGGAAAGGCACTCCTAACTTATAATTGTGACAATAAAAGTTTAATCAAAGACAATTTCACCTCTTTATTTGCTGGCTTGTCTGAAAACCACTTTATAGGCACATTTATAAGCAGAGTCACAAACAGTAAAGCAATTAACTTAATTTAATTATTCTGAAACTGCAAACAAATGCTGCTGATAAAATCTAAATAAATGTTTGCCATTTCAAATATGTTTAAAATAAACAAAAAACGCTCTAGAAATATTTTACTCCTGAAAATTTGAGTAAAATATAGTCTCTGTACATTTAAAAAGTATTTGAACATTTACACTACCGTTCAAAAGTTTGGGGTTTTAACGTTTTTTAAAAGAAGTCTATTATGCTCACCAAGGCTGAATTTATTTGATCAAAAATACAGTCAAACAGCAATATTGTGAAATATTATTACATTTTAAAAGAACTGTTTTCTATTTGAATATATCTTAAAATGTATTTTATTCATCTGCTGGCAAAGCTGAATTTTCAGCCGCCATTACTCCAGTCTTCAGGGTCACGTTTCTTCAGAAATCATTCTAATATGATGATTTGGAGCTCAAGAAACATTTTTGATTATCAATGCTGAAATGCTGCTTATGGGAACAGTGATTCATTTTTACAAGATACTTTGATGATTAGAAAGTTCAAAAGAACAGCATTCATTTCAAGTAGAAATCTTTTTTGTAAAATTATGTGTATTTACTGTCACTAATTGATTATTTAATATGTGCTTGATGAATAAAAGCATTATTTTCTTTTTTTTTCTTTAATAAATAAATAAAAATGACTGACCTCAAACTTTTGAACAGTATAGTGTAGGTCACACAAAATGCACTTTTTCACAACTTCTTTACATTTTACTAACTTTACTCAACTGCTGTTACACCGTTACTCATCAACTAGTATCAAGGTAACTAGTGACAACCTGAACCTCTTATTATGTTTTGTCTTAATTTTGAACAGCATATCTATTGCATCATTCATTTCAAATCTAAAAAACTTATTTATTTATTTTGTGAAATGTTTTGCTTTAATAAATGTGGGACAGGCACACATTTCAAGAAAACGTTTTCACATTCATACAAAAACTGCAGATAAATGAAGGGATGCACATACAGACACAGACCAATTAAGTCATTTTCAAGTGTGGTTTCGCAAGACGACAAGTGCTGTATAAATGTTTGCACACATTAGAATCAATAGTCTGAACAATGCATGCTAGGATTTTTCCTGTCATTCAGTGCAGTGAGCGCGCCTTCACATCGGAAAGTCTCTCTGTCTAGCTGGGTTCTTTATTACTGCTTGTTTGTCTTAGCACACAGAGCCTCTCGCCACAGCCTGGAGACACCATAGCGACCAGATTCGCTGAGATCACGCACAGAGGCGTCCCAAAGAGCTGACACTGGACAAATCTGCACTCCTGGTACTCACTATAATGCACATTATTTATGTGCAATGCCAGTCCATTTGAGTATCATAACAGCAGCTAAAGAATTAGAACTCATTTGCTTTTGAGTGAATGCAAGAAACTGTTGCTATCAACCTACTGTACACGAAACATAATAAATACTGTGCATTTAAAATATCAGTGTCATATTACATAAAAACAGAAAGCATGTGACCCTTTAAAAGCACTGTTTGACTAACAGGTTGACTTACAGTGCTGAGAAAAGCCCTGACATGATTGTGGAGGCTGTAATAGTGTTGCACACCTCCCTGTCAATCAAATGCTGGACTTCTAAATGCAGCCTCACTGTTGCCCTTTCACCCATTTGGTTTCTTCTTACGGCTACTGTTACAAATCTATATGGCATGGAAACATCTACACTCGGAGTGAGCAAATAAAACACTGCCATTATGATCAAGGAAGCGGTCTATACTGTCAGCTTCATTGATTAGAATGGGAACATACCTGTTTGTGGCTTTGCTAGCAGTATAAACAGGGTGTTACAATGTGCTGTTGACTGTGAGGGACAGAGTGAATTAAAATGTTTTGTTGTTACACAACAAAACTGTTGTTTTCTTTTGAGTTTGAATTGTGTAGAATGTTAACTATAAATAAATGCAGACTGTCTTGAGTTCATGTGAACATTTTTGCATGGCTGTTGTGAAGTGTCACATGACATGAGAGAGGAAGCAAGTAAACCATAGATACAACTGCCATGTTTGGTATATATAACAGTAAAAAAAACACATTTCCTATTAGATCAGCATTGTCTTTCCATTCCAGTTGCCTAGTGCAAAAAAAAAAAAACAGTTAAATTATGCTAAAATACTTACCCACTACAGTTTTGAGGTTTTAACAAAAAAATAACACATGCAGTTTGATTCATTGAGCTATCCTAGGAGTAATTTCACTTAGTGGAATACAAATGGGATCAAATGACAAACTCGTTATGTATACCTTGGCATTTTGTGTAACAATTCACAACTACTGTTTTTGCACAGGGCTTATTTTACCATTATAGAATCACAACATAGAGTTTAGATAAGTTAAACATGCATTATACATAAAATTTCTAACAGCTTGTCCTTTATTTTACATTCAGATGCTACTGCAGTGTGTTATCAACAATTAAACACTGTTTGTGTGCAGTTTATGGTCCGAAAGTAAGCAGGGCTCAAGCCAAAAATGCCACTAAACGTGGCCTGTACTTAACGTGCAAATTAATTTTTTTTATATTACATTTGTCATATATTTAATCAAATCTAGTCATAGGTTTGGATAGCATATTTAATTGGCCTATCTGATTCAGGTGAGCAAATTGTGATAACGTGTGAATAATACAATGGCTTTTAGGGAGTTGACTAATTTAAAGAAATGTCATGTTTTTATGTGAAATTTAAACCAAAGGTCTTCAACCCTGCTCCTGGGGACCCACTGTCCTGCAAAGTTTATTTCCAACCTGCTTCAGCACACCTGCCTGTGTATTTTCAAGCAATCTTGAGAAGCTTGATTAGCTGCTTCAGGTGTTGATTACGGTTGTAGCTAAACTCTGCAGGACAGTGGGTCCCCAGGAACAGAGTTGAAGACCTCTGATTAAAACGTCTGTATGATACCTTTAAATATTCAACTTACCAACCTTTCGAGTATTTGCCATTTACGCCACTAGCACAGTTAGCTAAATGCCAATTATTAAAAAAAAAAACTGTAAAGTTTCTAGTTGTGACATGTAAATCTATAATAAAATGATCCCTCTGATGGCATGCTTTATCGACACTGCTCGAAATGCAACGGAAACCACCTAAGCAATTACCTGCTGTTATTGGTGAACGCGACTTCTGTGCGTTAACTATAAAGATAACTATAATGATAATAGTGTCCACACCAACACACAATATCTTTCTGTTTATTATAAAAATGCACCACCGCTTTGTTAATGTGTTGCTTTAAATGTTCTCAAAGTGATTCCAACCATATCGTTCCTCAGTGTTGCTATCATTATAGCTGCGATGTGGACTTATTCTCACAGAATTAGAACGAATTAAAATGCTATAGTTATCATTACAGTTATCCTTAGTGTGAAAGGACCTTATTTGGCAACAAGTGAGAATATGTGTTTTGACTTGTAAATACTTTTCTAGTCAATAATGAATGTCATGTTGAAATATATACAGTTCATATAGGGGGAAAAACAGCCTTTTGTGCCACAAGCTTTTGGCGTTTAAAACTAATTTAGAGGAATCTGACACAAGTGCCACAAAAACCCAGACCACTGCCAACTCGCACCCTTCAATTGGAGTATTTGACATACATTTGATGACACACAATGCTACGTTTTGTTCTATTTATTTAGTCACTTTTTTATCTTTTAGAAAACCATTTCCTCATAATGGTTGAAAAAAGGAGCCTATGAAAATCAATTCCATGCAGGCCAAATATTATGTATTAAAAATAAAATGTTCTAACACTTGGTTTCATCCAGCAACAAGAACCGACAAAATATCTCAACGTCATAAAGTCCAAAGTTGTATCTTATTGCAAAACTTTAATATTTACTTTACATTATTTAAAAGTTACGCCTCTTCCACCTACCATTTAAATATGAAATCGAGCACAATACAATTGCACACAAAGAATAACGGGACGTTAAAGACGGGAGGCGCTCCGACAATGAGGATGGAAGGTGTCTACAGACCGCAGTTAGTCGAAACGATGCTTTTTATTATTACAATACACCATGCGTATGCAGAACAACGTTCGTTAATATTCTGCTACTATTCTAGTAACATTCTAACAGAAAAACCTTTATTTAACATAATATGAGCTGGTTAGCCGGTATGCTAGCAGGCTGCAGATGGGAGGCACTGGCCATCACCTCGGTGCTGGAATAACAACTGTAACGTTAGGTTTATACAGCTGAAGGATGCATTAGACAGTCGTTTCAGGGGATTTACCTATATATTTTACATCTGACATCTGATTTTGTCCTATTTAAATTAGCGCAATAAGGCTAGGATGCACAAGCCTCGCCTTTCTGACACATCTAATAACGGTTTGCTTGTTCCAAAGTGGCTTCCATAGATCTTACCTTCAGTGATGACAGTCCCGGTACAGGAACAAAACACTTCCGAGGAAATACGAGGGTGTGATTTATTTCCAAACGTACGGCTTTCCAAACCTAGCCAGTAAGTTTAAACAACCCAGAAAATCCGCCGGCTCGCCTCTGAAGTGATGGAAGCAGAATGAAATCACGCGTTGCTGTGGGTATCTAGGAAATGCTCGTCTCTCTGCCGCTCCCTGCCAAATAATGACCCCTCCCACCGAATCCCCAGCCACACACACGACAGGTGCCGAGTATGCGCGCTACCTTCTTGCTAAATAGTGAGCCGCGCGGTAGCTCTGTAATGCGCCTGCGCCATGAGCGTGGCGAGAAAGAGCGCAGCCTGGGATGGGCGGGGCGAAGATGATGCTGCGCATCTTTGTTAAATAGTGATGCTCAGCTGGAGGATGGAGCGCGTGCTCAGTGATGTATGCTTATTGCAGTTTACGATTGTTTGGAATTGTCTTTTTTTTTTCTCTCTCTCTCTCTCTTATTGAGAAACAGGCCTACTGTGTTTATGGAAAGCATAAACAAACGCCAATATTGGTTTGTTTGTTTGTTTTTAAGTAGTGATAATTAAAATTATATGATTATAAATATAATTTTGTAAAAGTATTTTTAAAAAGAACAAAAACGCTATGTCAGTATTGAATAATTCAATATCAGTATAGTCAATAGTCAATATTTATTGCAATTGAAATAATTGTTGAATTTATCTGAACTGGCATTTTACAAAAAAAAGCACAAAATGTGCAGTGGTAGTTTTCAATACTAGCCGAAATGACCACTTTTATTAATTGGCTTATCGGTTACACTTCTTGCCGAAGCTGATAATCTCAAAGTCAAAGAAACGAAAAGAAAGTGAAGTCTTTCACTATCGATAATCTTCCTTTTCAATGAACTCTCATTTATAATCATGTTCAGATTAAAAATTAAAAATAAAACGTGTTGTAAATGTGTTGCTTAAGGTTGTTTTATGGCTTGAATACAGTACAAGTAGTTGCATAGAGCTGAGTGAAGATTCAGCAAAAATGTTACTTTTGTTCGCCACATTAGAAAAAAAAAAACATACATATGTTATAATAACATGGGAGTGAGCAAATTACAACAATTTTCATTTCTGGGAGAACTATTCTTATTCCTGTATTCCTGAATACAGGCCACTCTCTGTACCCGGTGAACCCGGGGTTGTGGACATCATTGTTCTTTCAGTCGTATGTTCATGCTGTGCCATGCTATGTCAGTTATATAAAAATATACATCAGATGACTGTCAGGACCAGAAGGACAGATATGTTCATAACAATGCTACACAAATCCTCACCAGCTCTCGACAAGCAGCTTTAGATGATAAAAGCAGTATTCCAATATGGTGACTTCACTGGACAGACAGGAAACCACAGTGAATGGTCTGAAGGCTTCTACAGCCTTACTGTTGTAACAACAGCCTGTTTGCTTTTTTTGTTTGTTTTTTTGCTGATACACACACTTCCACCTTGCCAGAGATTGGCAGTATGCATAATAAATGTGCTGAATAAGTGAGAGGTTTACATATTCATAAAGCTGTAGTAAGCGAGTTCCAGTATAGCAGAAAGACCTTCCGTCTGTTGGAAAACAGAGACAATTTTGGAAGGTTAAATGCATAAAAACAAGTCTCCTCTTAGCTTATATCGAAATCCTCCGACATTCTTCTTTACAAATCCTCGTTTTGTACTTCTAATTAGTTGTTTTGTTGTTTTGTTTCGATCTCTCTGCGTGCGTTACTTCTGAGCCGCGCATGCGCAAAGCTGACCTCATACGTCATTCTCCCGGAACTGCTTCCGTGTACAACAGTGAGCGCAAGCTAGATTCAAGTGATTATTACGTTTTGAATATGG